TCTTCCGATTCATTTATTCCTGTTTCATCCTCTAAGCCTTCAAAACACATTCAAAACAAAAGCACATACTCAGTGAAGATTTCAACTTCTATACAAATAAATAGCTACAAATACTTTATCCATTAGTAGGCAAAAAAACCCCACAACTAAGAATGTTATATTTTGCTATGTTCTGGTTTCTTCTACCTATTCAAGCTCTAGTTTTTAGTTACTTTTTCTCAAAAACAAACGTTTCAAACAAAACTAGATGGACAAATGTTTTGATATGTAAAGCTGTACTCTAAAGCCATATTTTGTTTTTTGTTTGCTGACATTAATGTTTCATTTGACCACTGAATAGGAAGGTAATAGCTACTTCTGCATCAACATGTCCTGCTATTTTTCTGTTCTGTGTCCACATGACAGCTTATTCTGTGTTAAAAAAATATCCACGTTACAGACAATCCTCTAGAGTTGTACAATTTTATCCAGTACACATGCACAATATTACACTAAGCTTGGTTAACTTTGGTCAGCTAGGGAAAAATAGTCTTGGTAGTTATTATCCTGGTAGCAATTCTAACCACTTCATACAATTAGTTTTGAGAAATTCTCAGCTAAATTTTGCAAAATGCATGTTTCTCTCCTATTCTTTGTTATGTTAAACAATTTCTAACACAGCATCTTGGGAAATGAATAGCAAACTACAGATATCTGAAATATGTTTTGTCTCCAATAAACATGACAGAAAGCTTGAAGGCAACCAACTCCTGGCCAAGCTCCACCAATTTCCTCCACAGTGACTGAGAAAGAGCTACTGTTCATTACCAGAAACCTTGTCCGCTTCCCAAAGACAAGGTTTTAAAAATATTTATTCTTTTTTATGCTTTGTTTTGAAAAGACAAAAAAAAGTCCATCAGCAGACATCAAGTTAAAAATTGGTAGACAAAAATTGTCTCGAATTCTTCTGGAAACCAGACTGGAGCGTGGATCTGTTTTCAGATTGGACAAGGGAGCTGGTGATACACTATTTATTAAAAAATGGGTTCTGGGATTGACTTTGATATGGATACAATATCACTGTGAAGCATTCCAACTTGCTGAACATCTTTTTCACATTCATCTGGCACTATGCGAAGTGACAAAACTCTGGTCTTGACCATTGGCCCAGCACAGCTGGAGAGCCAGAGTTTCTGTGCAACTTGAGTTTTAAAGGATCTAACAATTGCTTACAAGGTACATGAAGGCACATCTTTGGAGTTCAAGATTAGGTTAATCTCTTCATCTTGCAGGCAACCAAAGTTGTTTTTATAAACATAGGGTTTGGTTTGTTGAGTTTTTTGTTTGGGGGTGGTTTTTTTTTTTCATTCTTTTTCTTGGTTAGTTGGGGTTTTTTTTAAATA